CCCCCCCCGCCTCCGTGTCCTAATCCACACCATCCTTGGCCACCCCTGAGCCTTGCCCCCACGCCACTGTCCCCCGTCCTCGCACCTGCTGCCCCTCTGCCTGGAGCCATGTCCCTTCAGATTCCTGTGGGGCCCGCTTCCTCTGTCTGTTCTCCACAGACACCTTAGCCAACTACCTGATTTGAGATCTCCTCCCTTCCCACCATGGCCGAAGCCGTTTTTCACATATTTGACACTATGCCGTGTGTCTCCTTCTGCTGGCTTATGCTAAGTGCCGCCACCCCCCAGTGGAAAGCAGGATCCTTTGTGACAGGGCCTTTCTCTCTGGTTCGTCTGCATACCACATGTCCACTAAAATGGCTTGCCCCTTTGGGTGGCCTCGGTGATGAATCAAATAATAACAACATGTGGGTCTCGAGCGCAGAGGGTAAGGGGGGAAGAGGCAGAGTGCAGGGTTGGGGTGCGAATCCCATGTTTAAAGGAGAAGTCACAGTGAAGGAAAGAGAGGAGATTGACAGAAAGCTTGGAGTTGTTCTGGAAGCGAACAGAGGGAGGGAAGGAGGGACCTGTCACCGGTGTCAGACACAGCTGAGAGCTCAAGAAGGAAAATAGTGGAGAAATTCCCATTGGGATTGAGGCATGGCTGTCATGGGTGTTCTAGACAGGGGTCATGTCAAGGGAAGCCTGGGTGGCCCGGTCAGTTAAGCGTCTTGATTTCAGCTCAGGTCGTCATCTTTCGGCTCATGAGTTCGAGCCCTGCGTGGGGCTCTGTGCTGACAGCATGGAGCCTGCTTGGGATTCTCTCTCTCCCTGTCTCTCTGTCCCTTCTGTGTTCATGCTCTCTCTCTCTCAAAATAAATAAATAAACTTAAAAAAAAATACCGAGAAAAAAAGAAAAAAAAAACTGGTTAGAGTGGGTGGGAGGTGAGCACTGGGGAAAGAGACAGGGAGACGTTCAGCGATCAGTTTTCATGTATAATATAGGTGATAATCTGTGATCAATGGATATCATTGATTGCAGATACACAATGGTCCCAACTACGTGGGGGAAATTGTAGTCATGAGTTAATGGCCGGTTTCCTTCTTTGCACCTCCTCTGCCCAGGAAGGTGTCAGGACTGATTGGGGGCAGGCGACAGTGGCTGCTCCAGGGACCTCCCACCCCATGTGTCTCCTTTGTGAGTTGCACGCATATTAAATCAGGGCACGAGCCAGTGGTCCTAAGTCAAAAGCCTGTTGAAATGGCCACACGAGATAGTGTTCCTTAAAAGGACTTGTAGCTTCCGAGGACAATGTAAAAAAAAGCACCCACACGTGAGCCTGACTCTGGGTAGAACCCTGTGCTTGCCCTCGGATGCCGACTGGATTATTTCCTTGCAGATTCTTGAACAACGTCGGTTTCTTTTTCCCTCTGATCATGATGCTGACGTGGATGGTGTCTGTGGCCAGCATGGTCCGAAAGCTGGTGTACGAGCGAGAGATCCAGATAGAAGAGGTAATCAGTCCAACTGCTTGCCTGGGACACCAGGAGGAGAGGCGGGGCTTTGGAGCCAAATCCTGTTCCCATAACTGACCCCGGACTCTGTTTGGCTTGCCCTCCTCTCTGCTGGGGTTCCTGGACACAGCCGAGCTGAGGCGGGGGTCTCAAGGCAAATGTTCCACATTGAAGCCTGACGTTCTGCCAGTCAACAGGTGTTTCCTGTGGAGATGGAAGGAGGCCCAAGGGCAGACTCACCACATTCAAAGACGGGAGCCAGTGTTGCTCATTCAGCAATTTCATTTCTTTTTTTTTAATATAATATATTGTCAAATTGGCTAACATACAGTGTGTAAAGTGTGCTCTTGGTTTTTGGGGTAGATTCCTGTAGTTTGTTGTTACATACAACACCCAGTGCTCATCCCAACAAGTGCCCTCCTCAATGACTGTCACCCGCTTCTCCCCCCTTCCTGCCCCCCCCATCCACCCTCAGTTTCTTCTCTGTATTTAAGAGTCTCTTATGGTTTGCTTCAGCAATTTTTATACAACCCAGAAAGACGTAAGGGTGCACTTCCCACTTGATGTGTGGTTAGATTGCCTCACGGGGAGCCTTGTTATTTTTGTTTTAATATCATTAAAATTTGAAACTGTCAAAACTGCTTCTAAGAAGGAGAGTTCATGAAAGTACCAGGTGGGGGCGCTTGGGTGGCTCAGTCGGTTAAGTGTCTGACTTCCTCTCAGGTCATGATCTCACGGTTCACGGGTTCGAGCCCCA